TATAATTCCACGCTCTCAAAAAAGGCCACTTTGCCTGATGCAGCATGACGTACATGTAAGTGGCGAGGGTCGAACGTATGTTTGGTTTCGCCCCCCTCCCCCTTTAATTCAACGATATTCACATCCCGAAAATGGCTACAAATTATCGTCCTACTGCGGTTCTTCTTCCACAGAAATGGTCTTAAACTATTCCCCTCAACATCAGAATAGTTTTCTGTCCGTTTCTAAGCCTTACCTGCTTCCTATGATGGTTTTTCTCTTCACGTAAACCGGAACTCGGGCAGCTTTGTTTTTCCTTCGTCTCGTGAGGTCAGAGGTGAACTCTATGCGGGTTAAAGGTGAAATTCTCTGCCTGATTACCCATGTAGTGCAATTGACGTCGGGTGGCACGTTACGCTTTTCTCATAATGTAAACGTTTTACACTTCAAGCAGATCACCGAAAAACGTAAAATACGCCATTTTTGCTGGTCTAATATTACTAGTATCTAAAAAGAAGATAAAAGCATACTAGAATTGTAACATTTGCAAAGCAAAGCATAATGTAATGTTTACCTTCGCATAATCTGCTTTGTTAATTCTTATTCAAACACATTCATATATATGATGACATGTCTCTAAATCCCTTCTGCTATAAAATTGCAACATGAATATAAACCAACACTAGTTACCATGGTGACAGACTGTCTGACCCAGGTCATTGACCTTTTGTGTTTGGAGAAGAGGAAACTGAAGAAAACAAGATGTTGTTCTTCTGTAAACATAATAACAGCCAAACATGTTTTTTCTGAATGTTGATTTTTATGTTTTGTGATAATTTAACAAACTCTATCATTGCAAAAAAGGCTAGAAAAGCATAACCTTGAAGGTGTAAAACGATTTAATTATATGAATGGAAAATATAACTACATCTCCGAAAAAACTACAAACAGCATACTTGTATACAACATAAAGCTGTAAACTTACTTCCTAGATGGAGACTGAAGAACATCGGTCGATTTACACTGATGCAAATAAGCGTTAAGATTTCATTATGAACCAAACGCTAGTCTACTGAGTTTATTCAAAAGACATTATAGTGTCTGTAAGACATACAGGCAAACACTTAGACAAAGTGAAGTATTAACAGGAAATAGAAGCTCCTTCAATGGCTTCTTTCAAACAAACTCAACGTTAACTTCTACCTTTCAACTACTGTTTACAGTCATCTTACCGATGACAAGAACTACTAGTAGATACACAGGAAATCTAAGCTCGCACACACACAACACTAACGTCTACATTCCAACTACTGTGTACAAACACAGCACTAATGTCTACCTTTCAGCTTCAACTACTGTGTACAATCACTTACCGATGTTAATTACTGATTATGTATATGTACATTATCCAATCCATACTATAATGCTTACTAGTCTCACTCTACAATTCTAGGTAGCTAAAATAGATTTTGATATCTGGTATTACAACAAAGTAAATGGGCGACTAAGCGAAACTAAGACTTATTCTTGTACCTGAATCATAGCCATAACTTAATTAGATTTTAAAGTGAACAAGTATAGGGCTTTTTCTTGAGAAAAACCTTTGCCTACTTGCAAACATCATGAATTCTTACAGAATATTCAGCCTAAATCTTAATGAACATAACTGTCATATACCCTTAAGATTCGTATCAAAATATTAAGTAAAGAAACTGTGGTTAACAGCAGACTGTGCGTACTAAATGTCACTAGGAGATGGTCACAGTTGCAGACTTGGTGCCTTCGTGTGAATTCTCATATGTCGACATAGGATAGACTTAGAGGCTGCAGAATAGCTACACTGGTAACACTTGTAGGGTTTTTCTTCTGTATGGCCTTTCATGTGTTTGGCTAATGAAAACCGGTAAGTGGTCCTGTACCCACACTCCCCACACATGTAGGGTTTCTCACCGGTGTGTTTTGCTAAAATGTTTGTCTAAAATTGGATTTCTCTGCTGCAGAATAGTCACACTGGTCACACTTGTAGGGTTTTTCTCCTGTATGTGTTCTCATATGCTGGGATAAGTGAGACCTGTCAGCAGTCCTGTACCCACACTCCCCACACATGTAGGGTTTCTCACCAGTGTGTTTTGCTAGATGAATGTCCAAGTGGGATTTCCTTGCTGCAGAATAGTCACACTGGTCACACTTGTAGGGTTTTTCTCCTGTATGGGTTCTCATATGTCGGGATAAGATGGATTTCTGAGTTGTCCTGTACCCACACTCCCCACACATGTAGGGTTTCTCACCGGTGTGCTTGGTGAGATGATCGTCTAAAGTGTCTTTCCGTGCAGCAGAATAGTCACACTGGTCACACTTGTAGGGTTTTTCTCCTGTATGGGTTCTCTTATGTAGGGATAAGGTAGACTTGCGAGCAGTCCTGTACCCACACTCCCCACACATGTAGGGTTTCTCACCAGCATGCATTGCTATATGTTTGTTCAAAGAAGATTTCCATGCTGCAGAATAGTCACACTGGTCACACTTGTAGGGTTTTTCTCCTGTATGGGTCCTCATATGTTGGGATAAGGCAGACCTCTGAGTTGTCCTGTACCCAAACTCCCCACACATGTAGGGTTTCTCATCGGTGTGTTTTGCTAGATGATTGTCCAAATGAGCTTTCTGTGCTGCAGAATAGTCACACTGGTCACACTTGTAGGGTTTTTCTCCTGTATGGGTCCTCATATGTCGGGATAAGTCAGACTTTCTAGCTGTCCTGTATCCACACTCCCCACACATGTAGGGTTTCTCACCAGCGTTATTCAAGTTGACTTGTGCTGCCGCCTGGCCTTGAACATCGCCTTTTTTGCTGTCACAGTTGACCTGGGAAACCCCGGTGGGAGACCCATCACAGCAGTCCTGACCAACTCCGGTGGGAGACCCTTGTCCTGCCGTTGCCATGTTCAGCCTAACAAAAAAAAAATGAAGAAATTATACAGATTAAGCGTTAAGATAAGATAGAATTTATAGAAAACAAGCTTCAAAGAATTCTAGCTTCACCAAGCTTTACAATTTTAACCTAATGCATTACAACGTAACCCAAAAAATTCTGACGTGTTGTCTTTCTCGCATTTGAATAAATTTGCTTCTATGTTGTTCCAAAATCATAATTTGTGAGATCTTACAATCACTCACTCACACCACCCATCTCAAAAACATTTTATATTATTTATTACTTCTACAACTACGAACAAATAATTATGGGTAAACTGACTCCATACGCTAGGCTGGAAAGAGAGTCGGCAGTATAGCCTATAGGTTTGTTCTCCAGGCTTCTCTATTTACTGTTTTTAAAAATCAGTTCTACGCGTTTCTATATTTTGTAATGTACGCATCGTGCGATTCTTTACAATACAATTAACATTCCATATAATTTCACGTACTCTAAAAAGGCCACTTTGCCTGATGCAAATCGACGTACATGTAAGTGGCGAGGGTCGACGTATGTTTGATTTCGCCCCCCCCTTTAATTCCACGATATTCACATCCCGAAAATGCCTACAAATTATCATCCTACTGCGGTTCTTCTTCCACAGAAATGGTCTTAAACTATTCCCCTCCACATCAGAATACTTTTCTGCCTGTTTCTAAGCCTTACCTGCTTCCTATGACGGTTTTTCTCTTTACGTAAACCGGAACTCGGGCAGCTTTGTCCTTCCTTTGTCTCGTGAGGTCAGAGATGAACGCCTTTCGGGTCAAAGGTGAAGTTGTCGGCCTGATTAACCATGTAGTACATTTGACGTCGGGTGGCACGTTACGATTTAGTTTTCTAATAATATAAACGCTTTACGCTTACAGCAGACCACCGAAACAACGTAACATGCCCTCGATATTCTTGTCTTGTATAATATTATGTCAAAGTAGTATAATAGTATCATATTATGTTAAATTATATTATAGAAAAACACAGTTAAGCCTGTTTGGTCTGAATCGAGATTTCTATGTTTTGTGATCAATTGACAAACTCTTTTCATGAAAAAAAAAGTCATCAGAAAGAATTGTGTTCAATGTACTGAACTATCTGATTGTGTTAGTGGTAAATATATGTAGCCACATCTTCGATTAAGGGAATTCTACCTGCTCGTATACAACATAACGTCTATAGTTTTTCCCTAGTCTAAAATCACTTCCTACAGTTGCTATACTATCGGCTTTAAAGGTTTTACCGAAACCAAACGCTAGTTTTTACAGAGTTGATATTGGTCAAAAGCTATTTTTGTAGTACATTTGGGACCATACTCCGTCAGGGAAAACTATTATAGAAACACGAAGATAGCACATTCATACAAACTTACACTAACTTCTACCTTTGAAATTCTGTGTACGATCACTTGCCAATGTTAATTACTGAC